TGAAAGAGAATGCTCTTTCAAATATCTGAGATACAAACCAATGTGCTTCTCTGCACAAATGAACACATTTGTAGAAAAAATGTTAAAGGCTCGAAGTAAATCTGCAAACGAAAAGAAAAACAGAACAACTGACTACACACAGTTTTGATACATTCGGTATAGCATCGCTAATGTAAGTGGATGGTCATACATATCATTTGCTTATATTTCTAAGTGTTTTGTAGAATAGCCCCAAATTCAACAGTTCACTGAAATCCACTCTGGAACAGAAAAAAATGCCTAAGATTTGGCAACAAATAGAATTTATAAGTATTTATATATGTATTGATGCAAGACAGATAGTGCTTAGCTATTTTTATCAATTGCTTTGGCAATTTTTGGTCAGTGTAGCCCAATACGGACACAATCTATCTTTTCTTTTTAAAAGAAAATAAGAAATGAAGCAGAYTATGGTAAAATATAATATTATTATTTCTGAACTGTGATCTAAACATCTCAGAAAAAATAATTCAGGATGTTTCTAAAAGGCATGGTTTACATTTTGTTCAGGATGCGATCAGGAATTTGCAATGCATCTATATGTAATGCTGTGTGTCACCTGAGAGATTATCTCTRGAGCTAAGTTACTTATTTGGCAGGTATTTTTTCTGCATTTGCCTTCCTCAAAACCAGCTACAACTCAGAGCTTTGACAAGCTACAAACACTTAAACATCTAATAGCTGTGGAATAACTCAAAGTCTATTTTTAATTGTTCCCAATTTATAGTTATAACAAGTCAGTAATACTCATCTGTCATCAAACATTCAAACATCTTTTCTGTTTGTCCCCTCCCTTTTTTTAAGATAAATTGTACTTGATATCTGTCTTGCTTCGTAGTAGTCAGTGAATGAAAAATATACATTTACACTTTAAGTAGTGGTTTAGATTGTCAGCAAGACATGTTTTTCTGACAGCTGTGCTTCCATGACCCTCTTTAGGGAACATATTTCAACTTGCCTAAGTGACTTGAAGTAGAATTTGTTTTTCTTTATTAATGTTCATGAGCTTGTGTTTTAGGATAAAAAGGGAAAAAATGTAGGAAAGACTTACTGTAAGATATAATCTAGTTTTTCCTTTATGATATATGCATTAGCTTAAATCATATGCACAAATATAAAGGATTTAATATGGTGCCTTTTTTTAATTCACATGGAGAAGACTTCAGAAATTGTAATTCTCAGCCACAAAACAACATTTAGGGGCCTGAAACAGAATTTCCTGCCTTAGGTCAGTTGCTAAGCTACCTGCCGGCTGCACAGAAGAGTCAAGTGCATCAGATTACAAGATAATAGCATTTTATCTTTGCATAAAATAAAACTTGGTCATCATTTCTGCCTAATGGTCATTGCAAAAGAACAYATTTTAGTGCAAGTCCTCTCCTCTCCCAAGAGGAAAGAAGTCTCCATCACATAAAACATTAGCAACTTTTCTTTGGGTCGAGGCAATTTCCAGCCAGTCCTCACCCTGTCCTACCCTTCCCACACGTAATATTAGCTCACAGATGGATCTCATTAGCCTACCCGATCCCCAGGATGTCAATCTCTCATATCCACTTCTTAAATTTTTTCACCTGAATATTAATGCTTTCTTCTGACTAGCATACAACAAATTCCTCATAAGCATATTCAAAAATTTTTTATAATCCATCTCCTTTTTTTCTAAGATGCTTTCAAGTAAAATTTACTGCTACTTTTACTCACTAAGAGCAGCTTTTTCTTTTTCATTTCTCCTTTCCCTGTTTATTACCCTTAGTTGCAGAGGCAGGAGCCTAACTGTGTGACACGGAGACTCCATTCCTATTCTGCGCCTCGTCCAGCAGCTGGCACCGCTACGTGCCAGCATCTAGCAGCGGGACTAACTAGATGTTAGGATCAGGCACAAAAAATGTGTTTCCTGAAATAGGCTGAGTGAGACATGAATGTGTAAGATTTCAAACTGGAAGGATATCTGCACAGGGTTAAAATGTGTCCAAGTCGTGCCTGGAATCATAATCTCTCTATTTCTGTTCCTTTATTCTCCCAATTGAAGGAAATGCAAGTTAGGTCCAGCTTGTATTTAAGCTTTCACAGARCCCCTTCTCCTTCACAACACAACAGCACAATCCCCATTTCGTTGTTGTTTTTGTCCTTCTTGTATTTTGAAATCGACTGTAATCTAAGCACTTGCCATTGCCCCACCACACAGCRAAGCCACCAGATGCACGGAGTCTAATTGGGTACCAGGGAGCAGCCAAAACCGCCAGTCAGGGTTCTGGTAGCGAGCTGGGCAGCAATTTGCTGCGGGCAACTGGGAGAAACTTGGCTCCCGCCGCAGTCCGAGAGCCACCCGGCCCATGTGCAGGGAGCTCGTGGGCGACTCGAGCCTGCAGGCCGCAGCCACCAGGCGAGCGCGGCCCGCGCTCCTGCCGGCGCCACGTGCGGAGCGGGCAGGATGTATAAGCCCATTTCCAGCAGGGGAAAAGAGGCCATGGAGTCGCTGGAGCGGCCGGCAGCTCTCACTCCCTGCTGGGAAGGCCATGGGGTCTATGGAAGTGTGATGTTAGAGCCAGGGCTGCTCCATGCGGAAGGGAGGGAGAGGCGGCCGCTCTTCCCGGCRCACGGCCAAGCAGCAGGCGGAGGCCCGGCTCACGCGGCCCTCTTGGGCAGCGTTACAAACTGCACACCCGCCAGCCCCACCACCGGCATTTTGCCCCACACCGGACAAAAACACACTTACAATAATGCATAAACGTTATTGCAGCTTACGCTACAGATCCCAGTTGTGGGAGTTCAGTACCGCAAAAAAATTGGAGATATCCTAACAATGAAATTCCGTCAAAAACTTTACACTGAACTCTGCGTATTCAGGTGTCTGKCACAGAGCTTTTAATAACAAGTGGCCTTTAATAATACTTTTAAACATTCAGGAAGTTCATTCTAGGTTTCCAGTCTGTTCTTAGGGGCTTGTTTTTCTGACATCTCTGCTACCATGACAGGCAAACTTTGTCAACTGCCTCAAGTCAGAGGTATTAGGGGGTTCCGTATCTGAAAATCTAATAAAGCTACTGTGTTCAGCCAAGACCAGCTCAAGAGCCTATTCTTAAGTCCGCACGCCACAATAAAAAGGATAGAAACAACATGTACTGGCAGGTCTTGTAAACTGGTGAGATGCAATTTAACCATGTTCTCCCCAAGCCCCAGTGTGTCATATACCAAAATTTTCTGTAAAACATGTTTAATTTTAAAGATAATTAGTTGTTGATTGGAATACTGAGTTTTCAGCAAATACACACACTCCATGAAGTCACCCTTTCTGCTTCCTGTGCTGTGACCTTGGGCAATTAGGAACAGCAGCACCACAGCTGGGTGCCTGTTCACCACTCCTCAAAACAAAGCTCGCTTCAAAAGCACTTTTCTCATCTCACCCAAGGATATAACTTAGCTGATTAAAYGTGTGAAGAACCTACCTGTTAACAGGCCCTCAATGAAAACAAGAAGAAAGCATCAATTCCAGACTTGAAGCTCTTATGCACTTGCAGATTTATGTATCTGAACAGCAATAATCTGGGGAACTGATTTGGGAAGAACTAGGATAACTATAGATCACTATTTAAGTAATCACTGATAGGATATTACACAACACATCAGAATTTTACTATTTATAATCATTTATTTGTGATGAGAATGATTATTCTAATTGCTTGAATAAAAACATATAACTGAAAGAAACCTCAACATTCATTGAAGACTGCATCACCCCAACCACATCAGTCTTACTCAAGATTTTCACCTACAGTCAAAATCTCAGCTTCTCAATGACATGTTGAAATTCCAGCCCCAAATACTGTCTACCATCCCGAAATCCCAGAGCTTATCAGGGACTCCCATTCCCACAGATTCAAAGCATCACGCGCAAGATAACTACAGGTAACTTACTATAAAGATGTTACAAATGGAATTTTTTTCATATCTTTTAGCTTAATAACAAACCATAAAGTAAACCAAGTTTCTGCATTTTCTCAGCATGTTTGGAAAAACAAAACAAAATAAAAATAAAACAAAAACAACCAAAAAAAAGGAGAGAAAGGTTCTCTTTGCTGTAATTATAAGTGTTCTGGATTTTTCTCAACCTCTGCCACTGAACAGGGAGAGGATTATATGTACATTATTACTACCTCTGCAAGATACATATTTATTCTGTCTTTTAGAGATGCTGCATCCAGCTGCTACAGTATTACAGTCACTGCTTGAAGTCCATTTGAAAAATGTACACAAATCACCAAAAAGGCTTTGTATAGAATAATAAATAAAATGAAATGAAATAAAACAATATAATCCCTCCTCACAGTTTTGCAGTTTCATGAAATATAATCACATGAATCAAGGGTGCATAATTGGATTTAGTTAAAAATTGACCCAAATATGTGAACAAAAAATAAGCAAGACAATAGGGATCTTCCGAGTACTGCTGAAATTCAAAAATTACAGTACTGACTTAAGTAATTCAAAATAAGTGTGGTTAAAACAAATCTTTAGTCTAATGTCCCACAGGAATCTAATTGCTTTCTTCTAATCATTATTTGAAAATGTATCTTCAGCATCAGAAAAGATTAATCATAATCTTCATCAAGGGTGGTGTGTGCGTCTATGTATATACTTKGCTATAATAATAGTTTAGATTTTTCTACTTAATTTCATAGGCATTTATATGTTATTGATTTTTTTTTTTTTACACAAAGTATTTCATTAACCTAGTGAAGCCATATACATATTTACACATGGATGGAAAATGGCTCCCACTAGGTGGATAAGAAACAGTGTGCATATAGCACATTAAATAAAGGTATAAATGTTTAGTACAAGAAATGAAGAATTCATTACCTATCTACCAATAGAGATAGACTCTAGGAGGACTAACTGTAATTACTGAAACTGGAATTAAGGCAGGACTCCAAGGTTAACGCATCTACTTTTAGGAAAAAAATGCAGTGGGATTTTTGAAGTTCATAAATATTCAGAACCTGTTTTTCTTTCTTTACTGAAAGATGGAGAATCACAAAGCTGAAACTGGAAGAAATGCAATCAATGCAAGCCAGGCGTGTTGCACTGGAAGAAGAGGACAAAAAAATATAAAAAAGTGGTTCTACAAAAAAAAAAACAAGAAATTAAATTCTCCACAAAATTCTCATTACCTTACACCAGATCAGAAGAACACTTGCCAAGTTGYTTTTGATTTACAGTGACCTAAGCCACACCAGTGCAAAACCAAGAGAGCTCTAGATTAGCTTGCAATGGCAATAGCTTGCTTAAAATTAAAAGTTGAGCTCTCATTCTCTTGTCTATCCAAAGTTAAAACCAAAGGAGGGGAAAAAGAGGAAAGAAACTACTATAATATGAAAGTCATAACTGTTTATATATCCAGATATTTCTAAAAATAAATCCTTAAGTCTAATGAAATAATATTTYAAGTAAATGATGACAAAAGTGCTCTTGGCACCAGTTAGACTAAAATTTCAGCTGAAGATTAAACCATCTTGGGCACAGAGGTCATTAAAGAAGATGAGGACAATGTTAGGAACATGGGGACATTAAAGTACTTACACTGCTTCTTTAAGAAGAATTTGAGCAGGAGTTGACTATCAGCTTTCTCAAAAAATGGTATGAGATGACAACCATCACACTCCTGCCTTGCTCTTTCATATTCATCTATGAAGGAAGGTGCAAAAGTTATTTTTTCTGCATCATTCTCCTGCTTAGAAGTCAAGGCAGTTGTTTAAATTCACTGATCATTTCAGTGTATAAGCTTATAAATTCTTTAGAAATACCATCATTCAGAATGTTACATCATAGCCTGAGCCGCCTCCTTTTTTTTCGAAGAGTAATTTAGTGAAATTTTCTTTAAAAAAAAAAATCAAATGTTAACTAATTTTGTACTACAAAGAGCTGAGAAAAAAGAATGTGTTAAGTGCTCTATTGTATCTGTGAGTACAACAGAGGTCTCTAATCTTTCTGCATTTCTGTACATTTCTTTGGACTTATGAAACTGAATAGTTGAAACATCTTTTTTTTTGTTGTTAGGTGAACTTTAAAGGCTGTCTAACGTGCTGCAATTCCTAAGACTTCCTTGGAGATTTCCATGAATCGCTCACAAACAGTCAGCTCCTCTTCTTTCCCCAAGTGAAACCTTCTATAAACTTCTGCACAGCAGGAAGCTGTCACTGAAATGTGTTGTGATCCTCTTGAGCTTTTTCCTTAAGAGCAAAGGGGTGAAATATCGGAAAAATAGCAAGTGTACTTACGGGTATCTCTGCTATTTCATATTCAACAATATATTGGACTTCTTATGGCATCACGTGGTGCCACATTACAACCAAGCTGTGATTTTCTTCATTTGGTATCTCGTTCTCACTCAAGAAACGATGATGCCAGGGTAGTTAGGGCAGTTTGTTAGGTTACAGCAAGACCCTAGCRAAGAAAATTCCATGTCAAACATGTACATGAAGTAACAAACAAAAAATAACACTTCAGATGCCTTACCAGAACAGCTTACAAGAAATTAAATAAACAAAAGATTAGCTACATTTTCCTCCCTTCCTTGTAATTCCTGAGATGGTTACAGCTAAGAGTAATGAATTCTGGAATGCCCCACTTGGCCACGTTGTACCCACTGAAACACTCCAGTCACTCATGAAAATTCCATTCAGCAACAGCTTCCAGACATGAGTTCAACGTGTAGGAAGCTTAACTAGCTCTGTTATGAAAGCAGCTAATGCAGAGATGACAATGACAACCCACAGGGGAACGGATTCTCACACACGATGTTCTYGCAAAATTTCTCCAGAAGTCACATGAGAGGATCCTTAACACCTCCAGCTATGCCAGAATGTTTCATTTATAAATGGCAATACTAAATGTCTTTAATAAAATCCACTTTTGGGTTTTAAGGTGGCTGTTTTATCATATATGTTGTTTCTCTATGTTGTTTCTCTCAAAGAAGATATGCTCAAGGCTGCCTGCTTACATTTTGAACATTATGTACATAATTTAGAAAYGTTTTAAGTTTGCTATGCTATAGGAAAGCTTTTGGAATATGTTGAAAGTTTCTAAATACTTTAGAAAGAAGTACTACTAAAGGTTCTGCCACTACTAATTAAGAAAAAATATTAATTAAATTGATAACTGAACAAAGTGGTTAACATCAGAAGAAGCCAAATAGCATATGCAAAGCAAAGAAAATTAAGTGTCAGTGGGATTTTAAATCAGAAAAAAAACATGAAAGAGCAAGAAAAACACTCTTCATTCTTCTACATTCAGCCCGTTCTCTTTATATGGGAGCGACTGAAGTAAGCTAGAAATGTTTTGCAAGTCACAGCAAAGTTTCTGGAACTGCAGAGCGCGGCTGCGCGGAGCAGCTAGAGCTCTTTGCCAGCGTCTCCTTCGGCCTCGCGTTCCCGCCGCACGGCGTTCCCCGCTGCCCACACACCTCGCTCCGAGCCTGCTCACACACCAACGTACCCCCGCACGCTCACGTCACCCCGCAGGCTTCTTCCTCCCAGTGCAGCTCGACACAGGACAAAGACATTGGAGATGCCCTCCTGGCCTCTCTCCTTCCCACGCCTCCTATGTACCCTCACTCGCTTTGGATTCCGTGTCCACTGAATCCAGGCCCCGGCCCCTGTGCTTGGCTGGACACACGTGAAGCCAGTTCCTACCTGTGCAGTCCCCGAGCTCTACACCTGGCTGCAACTTGTGACGTGAAGGTTTTCTTTGGCGCAGCTACGCTCTGCTGCCGGCCGGGAACAGACACCCCAGAGGGAAGCGCTGGGCAAAGCCAAGCCCAGAAACCACCYGCTGTGCTGCTGGACACCAGCGCTGGTCTCTGGTGTTAATGTGGTACCACAGCCCTCTATGCCCACATAGCCAAATGTCTTTACATTTTAACCCTTTAACCCTTTGACAACTTAAGAACTACTTGGTATTATTCAGAATATCCTTAGCAACAACACATACAACTGGATTCTTTCCTAATTTTGTATATTCTYACTTTAGCAGTATTTTGTTTTTACCTTTATCTTTCTCTGCTGAGGAAATACTTTGACAGCACCTAAAGGAAAAGGAGGATGCATTCAGAAGCTTATGTATCATACTATATTATGATTTTAAAGTATTTCAAAGTGATTTTTTTCATTATTGCATGAGCTCAAAGGGACATACTTTCCTTGCAATAACTGGGAAAAAAAAATCTTAAAATAGGATTATAAGTATTGAAACGAATATTTCTCAAATGCAATCATGCTAGTCTGTGTAACCTGCAATAGACATAAAAGCTATTATTATGAAATTACAAATAAGATTTCTTCAGTTTACTTTCGTAAATTAAGTTTTATAGAAATTAAACCCACAATGATTGCAAGCTTTAGTACTACTAAGAGGAGCACTAAGACAGACGGCAGCTCCAAAGCATGACTATAACATAATTGGTGTCACTCTGCTATAGTCTTGTGCAGATCACAGACTGAAGTTCAGTGCATTTCCTCTGAAATGTGTTAGTTAAAACAGAATTAGTCATTCTAACCCAATGTAAATAGTTAAGTAGWAAGCAAATGTAAGATCAAAATCAGGTCATGAGGACTTGCTTTCACAGGATAAGCAGTAGTAACCAGATTTTCAGTCTTAAGTAAATCATTGTTTCTGTAAAGAGATTTTATATAGGTTATTACAGGCATAACAGGAGTTTTAATAACAGTTTTAAAAAGAAAAACAAATTATATTCTTTTTCAGTATCTGGAAATACATAATCTTGGATTGAKCTTAGCCTATTTCAATCTCTAAACAAAGCATTTAATCCCAAACCATATAAATCCCCTTGCAAACCTATCATTTCCACATCTGAGGCTTTTTGAAACCTCCAGAAGTCACAGCCCTGGTTCCAGTACTGTCTGCCCTGCTGTCCTAGAACCTGCAAATGCATTCGCAGGAAGGGAATACACATTTTTTTTTTTTTTTAATTACTGCCCTTACAGGAAACAATTCTTTTCCTACTGTTTTTCTGAGTCCTTCCTATGCCAGTCTCGAGGCACACTGGCTGAAGAGATTCAATCCATAGTGATATCTAAAAACCCAGCAAGCTTGGAAGCACAGCCTCCAAATCAGTCTGATCAAGCTTCCTTTCAGTGCCAGGTTCCATTATGCAGAGCAGCTCTTTAAACATTCAGCATTTGTTGCCCTGGTTTCTATGGTACTATAATATTTATGCCTTTTTTTTTTTGCAGAAAAAAAATCAATAAGAAAGGCAAAATATCAGAATTATAATCCCTTTAAAACACCGTCCGCTTTTCTTTAGGCTACATGGACAACACTTATGTTAACTGCTATGCTGCAAATTCAAATGCACCTTTTCTACACCTCAGTTTGAAGCAGCAAGTGCTTCTGTGTGGAGGGCTGTCAGGCTTTGCATGCATATTTCCACACATGGTGAACCAAAAGGTGGCCACAGATCTTGTTTTTAACTTGCAGCCTCCCACTGCCCCAGTGCTGGGGAGGAGGCTTTTCCCCTGCATCTTCACCTCCCGGGGTGAAAAACAAGAGTGGCTGGTGTGACTCTGGGACCWTCACACCAACACTGCAGGTCTTGGATTCAAAGGCAGCCAGGTCACCCCACTAGTTAAAATACATCAGTCCTTTCTCTAAAGTCGTGCAGCCACAGCACGGCACACGCAGGGCATCTCCAAGAACTGAAACTGAAAAATTCACAGCAGAGAGCCCAAAACACCCAGACAGCCCCACTGCTCCTTGCAGGCCCTAAGCCCCCGGTTTGGTGGGATGGGAGAGTCTGCAGAGAGSTAACACACCAGGCTCACTGGCACCTCGCCCTGGCACAGTCTCACTGGCACAGACGGGCACTTCAAACACCCTGTTCGAAGCAGCTGTAGGGCATTTACTGACTCCGCATGCCATACTATCCCTAAGGCTGAGGGAAAAATAAGATTAAGTATAATTCTTCCTAAAAATGAATTTATTTCAAGCTGGTTAGGGTAGGCCCTACAGTTTTGTACTAGATGAAAAATGTATCTTGATGTCAAAACAAGCTTTGCTTCTGTATAAAAAGAACTGTAGAAAATCATTTTAATGCATTGATGGGAGATATTTTGTTTGGAAGCCCAAATACATATTTTCTGCCTACTTACATCTCTCCTTGCATTTTATCTTCATCTACAGTTTTAACTGGATACTGTGGTTTTATGTATGATGCATGCATATGCTTCCTGATGTTTGTGTAAAATAAAAATTACCGTGATATTTGACAATTTGTCAAAAGGAGAACTGGTAACAGTGTTATATAGAAATAACAATAAATAGCTCCTTGGCAATTAAAAAGTACCAAATAGAAATGTGACCCTCACTTGGTTAAGCACCGCGTAGACATGGGCAATGTCAGCCCATGACACTGGGATGAGAGGGAGGTGGGAGATGAAAGATGGGCAACAAAAGAAACCTAGAAACAAAACAACTCAATTTACCACAACTCCTTCAATGACAGATTGCTGAAGACATGGTTAGTAGTATTGTATTAATCGAAACAAGAGTTTTGGAACCAGATTTTTTCATTTTACTGATAGTGTGTATTGCCTAGTGTAGTGTTTTAGCATTTCTTTTGATTTTCTCAATTTATCCACTAATTTGAAATCTATGTAACCTTGACATGATGTATTATGCAAAGGATACAGCTTTTTGACCATAAGAACATAATCATTACTTTTAGAGAATGATTTAGGTGGACTTCAGAAGGGTTTACAGTTACTTCAGTGTTGGAGCACTTCCTAATTTTTCCTATTAAAAGAGAGTTTCCACAACAAAGGGGAAAAAAGAAGAGAAACAAAATCACAAGCTAGAAAATATTTTGTGAAGTCATCTTCTGCACCTGGAGAGTTGTAGTGCTGATCATTCTGACTACAATCAACATACTCAGAAACAGTATAGATATATTAATGAGATTCAATTATCTACTAGGAGAAAAAACATATTCTAATCTATCATTTACTTTTATTATCTATATTGATTCTTCGGAAGCCATCTTAACATCCAAATATTTCAGATATGCCTGTTTAGCAAATTTATAGCAGAAGAMATTAAGAAATGGGAGCTAATGAAATCAGATATGGAAAGATAAGCCAAGTTGGATATTTGACTGCAAAATTTCTTTTTCTGACAGACCATAGCAAAGATAACTTTTTTGTTTTCACTCTCTGAATTAAATTAACAGTTTTGATTTATTTAAATGTGTATGGCTATTAAGAAAATTGTTTTTTAAGTACCCCAATTCATCGGCATTAAACAATTATCATTTTTATTGCAAGGGGAAGAAAGTAACTCTGTAATTAGATCTGACACCAGAAAGCTGAATATGGTGTGATGTTTTAATGTATTTTTGTTTGAAATTTGGACAGATAAATATGGTT